GTGAGTTGATGTCAAATACATGGTGTTCCATTGTTACAACCTACCCCTCTACCGGGGTAGGTTGTAACAAATGCTGGGGTAAGTTGTAACACTTAGACAAAAGAAGCAAAATCAGAGGTCACATTATGCAATGTGGTTCTAAAATACGTTTATTTAAATTAAAGAACAATCCAGAATAATGTTCCTCTCTCTGTGACTGAACATAACACAAATCCACTTTTTTGTTTGACTCAGAAGTGTGTGCGTCTGCAAATTCATAGAACTAGAACAAAATATAGGCTTAATGAATACTCTATATAGTGTCCCTGTGTGAAGAACAGATCAGAATCCTCAGTCTGGTCTTTCAACACTTTCTTGATGGACTCTCTTTCCTTTTTCTTTTGCTTGCATTTCTTTTTTCCTAATCCTAAGATACTTGTTTTTTTACATTTTTATTTCCCTTCTGTTCAATTTTTTTCTGATCTCCAGTGCTTACCTCACATGGAGTGATTCAATACTTTAATACAGCTTGAAATTAGCAGGGGGAAAACGCATCATATTTTACCTGAGAAGTCACAATTTCATACAATATAATTCACATGGTTTTAAATGTAATAATAAAGGTACTAAACAAAATATACTATTGGTTCAAAAATTTACTTTCTTACCTCAAAAGTAGTCTTTTCTTTATAGAATTTGAATGCACCCATTTCCAGCCTTGACTACCACCATGGGGTCAAGGGGGAAATGTGGACATACTGCTATGATCACATGACTCCTGTATTATATGTGATTGGTGGAATTGGTGGCGTTACAACTCTCCCCATGTTACAACCATTTTCAGTCAGTTCTAATAGTCCATTTTACAGACATGGAATTTAAATTTGTTGTAGTAGCAGAGAGTTGTCCCCATCATATTCTCTGATTGCTAATAGATCACTCAAGATCTTTGTTTAAAACTTTGATGGGCAAAGCAGTGGGTAATAAACAATCCTTCCAGGATCTACTGCTGATTACTGCTACAATGTCTACTGTACATAAGCTGTGTTATTTATTTATTTATTTATTTATTTATTTATTTATTTAACCAGTTAAATCCCATTGAGATCTCAGATCTCTTTTTCAAGGGAGGCCTGGGCCTGAAGGCAACCTTTTGTACATGTTTTTGGAAAACAGAGAGCATCTAAAATTCAAAACGCTCAACCAGTGGGTTGTGAAACACAGAAGAATTATTTGGACTGAGGCTGATGGGAAGAGTGGCTGCAGCTGTGGCTAATGAAAAATAATGGCACAGAGTAAAATAGAGGAACAGAAAACTCAACATACTCTCTTTGCTATTTAAGGGCTGTCCATCACTACTATCTATTTATCTGCCGTTAAACAGAACTACAGTGTGAAGCTTTAAAGTTGGTGCTTCTGACTCAGTTTGATGACACACTGATATTTATCTTGCTCACGCTTTAGTCTCAGAACTGCCCCGAAGCACACGAGAACTAAAAACAATAAATAAATAAATAAATAAATAAATAAATAAATAAATAAATAAATAAATCCACTCAGGAAAGATCGCCTAAGAATTTACTTTGCTTGAACAATGTTATGTCAAATGCTAACTGCTCCACGTCATATGAAATGTGGCAAATAAAAGAAAATCAGACGTGACTGCATTTGAATTAAAGAGGAACAAAGCAGTTTGTGTTTTACCTGGGTCGTGTTTGCTTACAGCTCTGTTAGTGAACTTGTCAAGCTAAAACTCCAACTTTTTAAGGGTTCTCTGGCAAACTTTTTTTTTCTCGTGAACTGGTTCGAAAGCAGAGCTAAAAGTTTTTTATTCACCCCACTGCCAGAAATATGCAAAGACCTTTTTTAACAAGGTATTTGCTCTAAGCTTGACAAGTCAGTGTCATTATTAATAACCTATCAGGTTCACAACATCTGAAAGTATTTAAGAAACAGGAAAGAAGCCAACAAAGACCTGATCCATGCAGACCTGAGAGTGGCATCATCCTGCAGATCTTAAAAGTTTTCAACTATTAGCTGTTTACAAATGACCTTGATGGAGGATAATCTTGGGGTTAGGCAATTTAATCATTTCTTTTGTGGTTTTTTTTTTTCATATTTAAATTTAAGCCGAAGTGCCCAAATTTGGCCTGCCAAGCCATTTGATTTAGCCCACTAACTGCACTGGTTATTCTGTTGTGTTGTCCCATGTAGAAACAATGTATTAACACTAAAAGTTATACCATCCATTGACTACAAAAAAGCTAATTTTTACTCATGGTGCTGACTTTGTCTATGAATTATATTAAGATTAAACATAACATGCACGCAACTACAAGACTATTAGATTATATTTAAGCATATACTTTTAGATTTGCACACTTTATAATACCACAAATACGTTTTATCAATTTAAGAAACATCCTGTTAGCTTTTGCTTCCCAAGCGTACGTCTAACTTCCCCAAATGCACAAAAAAAAAAGAAAAAGAAAGAAATGTGGGCCACCTCACTGGCCGCAAGCTTAATCATAAAAAATAAAAGGACTTTACTTAAATTATTATTAAGTATTTGCATTTCATTATTGCACTTGGCCCGCAGCGCTCGGATAACTTTTCATTTTGGGATAAATAAGTTTTGGCACCACTGAGCTAAAGAATTTGGAACATGGTTAGTTGTGGGTTGAAAACCTTTGTGGCCTCCCTGACTTTATATATGTTCTCCCTGTGTCAGTTTAATGCTCCAGTTTCTTCCCACAGATTGTTTATGTTTAGGTAATTCCATCCACCCATCCATCATCCCGCTTCTTCTATTCAGGGTCACTGGTGCACATATCAGTCACTGTGTGAGGGGCGGGGTACACCCTGGACAGGTCACAAGTCCGTCACAGGAACACAAAGACAAACAACCATTCTCACTCACTGGGGATAATTTAGAGTTGTTAATTAGCCTAACTGAGAGAAAACCCATGCATGCACAGATAGATTAAAACTCTTACCTAAAAGGTCCCCAGCAGGGTTTTAATCCGGCAACCTTCTTGCTGAAAGGCAACAGCTCTCAACTGCATTCAAGTTTTGGTAATTGTAAACTCAAAGTTGTATGCTTGAGCTAAACGGTTCTCTGTCTTGTTTGCGTTGTGATGAATTGATATCTGTTCAGGGTTTACTCCACCTTTAGTCAAATAACTGCTTCTCTTGACTCCACATAAAAAAAGTGTTAAAGAAAAAAATCGGTGCACAATTTTTTTTAAAAAAGTGACTTTTTATTAACAAAGTGCCTCAAAATCCCATTTAAAACTGTGCTCGTGTGTCCATACAACTTCATCCCTTTAGTTTAGGAGCCTGTTTGTCTGAATGATTGACAGGTCAGAGTTCAGTGAGAGAAACAATTCCACAAAATAGTTTGTGAATGGACCAAAAATAAGAAGGTTTGTAACATGCTGAGCAACTGTGAAAAATTGCTTCTCAAATTCACATTAAAGATAATGAAAGTTTAGCTGAAACAATGATGACTCAAAACTTGTCACATTTTTTGATTATTCTGCTTTTTAATTGATGGATGCTGACAGGTTTTAATCACATTTTTTGTTTCTTGCAAATTGTCCAACTTATGACGAGCAGCTTTTAAAAACAATATTGAAGTTTTTCTTTGCAAAAGTTTTGTATTTTTATTGATCTTTTGCGACGCTTTAGACATATTGTGTGATGAACATGAGCTGAATACAAGGAAAAGTAACTTTATATGTAAAACGGTTTACAGTAAGAAAGTTTTTTTCTGTGAAAGTAAAACTTCTCTGAAGAATAAAGAAAACGAGAGATGCAAGGTGTAATATAAAATAATCCTTTGCATCTTTTTGTTTGCTTTAATTTGGTGCATCTGTTTGGTGTCACTTCAGCATATACAGCATATGTCAACAACATGGACAGCGCACCTCTGCTGCAGACTGAAGGTTTTTTTACAGCTCTGCCCATAATTTATTATTTTATTTTACTTTTGTATAAAATGAAGAGGAAGTGTAACTTTTATTTATTAATTTATTTGAAAGAGGACAGTTTAAATAATAATTATAATAATAAAAACAACTTAAAGTCTAACAAAACTCTCCATCAGCCTTTAGAGCTTGATTTCAACTAACCTGAAAGTTCTGTTTGAGTTTACTGAACAATTATTCTTTGACAGTGAGCTCGTTTTCCTTGTAAACAGGGTGTTGATGTCTTCCTAGATCAATATCTGCACAATAAATCAAGACAGCTAGTGGCAAAGGATCCCTGGTCCTTTGAACCGAACCTGGTGCAAATCGGACCTGCCGTGGTGGTGGAGGTGTGGAGGTGTGTA